GCACATAGATCTATTTCCCCATCCTCACATATAAATATGTTTGCATATGTATATGTCTTTATCTAGACCTCTATAAATGCCCTTCAGCAAAAATATTTATATTTAGTTCTTAATTCCTTCTGTACTGGAAAAATGAAGTGTCTGATGTGGGTTTCATCAAAACCTCAGGATCCAAGTCTGTGCTTCATTATATGAAGACTTCATTTTTTCAGGAAATTTTATTCTATGGGAATAATGTGATAAAGTAGACTTCAATGTCAAGTACAATACACCTCAAAATGAGGTTTTATTGAGGTGTTTATGAAATGAATCAGTTATATTAAGCATTAATTATCTCATCTGTAAAATTAAGACTCAAATATTGCCCTCACAGGATGATTATAAACATTAAATGATATCTCCTCCAAAGAACTGAACATGGTGCATGCCACATCGTTTACAATAAAATTGCATGTCCCTGTGGTCGATGTTTACTAATAATTTTTATTGATTCTGTAATATGAAACAATACCCATGTATCTCTATTTAATGCTGTGACATGGCTAAATTATATACATGCAATTGTAATAATTGTAATTAAAATTTTGGTAAAGTGTAAGTAAATTCATTATTATGATAATATCATACTTTTCACTACCATAAATCCAAACCTTTGAGTAGACTCACTTGGAATGGGAAAAAATCCAAAGGTTTGATTTCTTCTTTCTATAATTGGACATTTGTAAAATGACATTTTTTTATTCAACTTTTTTTCAACTAAATTTCTGGCATTACAGGACCAGAAAGATGAGGTTTTTCTACTCTTGTAAAGATTTATGGCAACAGAAGCCCAAAGGGGCGGTCCTACTTTGCCCTTCAAGATCAATGGCAGTGAGTTTGATTTTCGTTTGGATCAAACACTTTCATCTTTTAATTGGAAGAGAATATAAAAATTCATAGACTAAATTAAGCTTCATTATATTTTCATATAAAACAGATTAAAATGAGATCGTTGTAATTTTAAACTTTGAGCTACTCCATAATTTAGATGTTTGCTATAATAGTTCTCTTGCTTTACATAATGAGTTAGATATTAAAAGAGAACACTTAAATATCTTTACAGATAAATCTCCTAGAGTCATTTCTCAACTTATCATCATAATATTAATTGGTTTGATTCTCTCCCTTGATTAAAATATGTGCATATTAGCCCCTATATAGCCAACCTTAATGTAATAACAGTTCATTTGAAATAGTGCAATTGATTAACACTACATTAACAGTACAATTGAGTAATAAAATGTCAAATTGAAAAAAGTTTATTACAACTTAAATGCTTAGTTTATCTAACTCCACTCCACTAAGAGAATTTAATGCTAATCTTGATTGAATTTTTTTTGGAAAAAAGCTTAAATATTGCAAATGGGTTTTTTCTTGTAACTATTTTACCAGTTATGGCCAGATCATTCTATATTGTCACGAACTAGTTAAGGAAACCTGGTGGCAGCGTGGGTTATGCTGGGCTGCTCACCCAAGATCAGCCGTTTGAAGCCAAAAGCCATTCTGAGGGAGAAAGATGAGGCTTTCTGCTCCTGTAAAGATTTATTGCTGCAGAAGCTGAAAGTGGCAGTGCTACATTGCTCAACAAGGTTGATAGCAGTGAGTTTGGTTTGGGTTCGGATCAATCAATTTCATATTTTAGCAACCAAGAACTTGCTAAGCTATTTTTCCAAATGCAAAGAGTATTATGTGGTTAACAGCAGAATCAAATCACCATTTCTGAGCAGTTTACATTTGACTTAGATGTTGCTTACCTGGGAAGTTCCTTTGCTCTTTAAGAATATCCATCAAAATGTGAAATATTTATTGGGCATGCCCTCTAGGGGTAGCATTCTCATAAATATACATAGTGTCAGCTTTAATAGATCCTATCAAGTAAGTTTCCAAAAGTAATTTTAACAAGTTTGTAATTCACTCTGTATAACATCAGTTTCTGCACAAAACTGAACATAGTAAATCCTTGTGACCTTTCGAATTCATATCTAGGTATCAGCCAACCATACAGCAGCAGACTTAGAGAAGAATGTTCATGGAAGCATTATTCACACCAGTTGAAATGGAACTGACAATAGACTGGACAGATCGGCAGCAGAATATTTGTGTAATGGAATACTACATAAAGATATGCAGAAACATGGGTGGATCTCTAAAATGTAATATTGAATGAATGAATGAATGAATGAATGAACACAGAGTGCAGATTGAACGACTATTTACATGACCCCTTTCTGAGTTTTGCAGGCAAGTGTAGGTGATAAAAGGTAGGTTAGGGGTTACTTTCAGCGATCGTGGCGAAATTATTGGTTTGGGTGGAGGGTAGATTGAGCTACACCCTAAACTATTGCACACTTTTGCAGGTTATATTTTTGTAACGTGTGTTAGAAATTATATCCCACTTGTAGGAAAGGGTTTCCATATTCAGGGTGAGGAAAGTGGATCACAGGAAACTGTGTGTGTGCATTCATTTATTTCATTTGGTGTCACTTGTACGCTTTCCTATATTGAGTGTTTCTACATCAGGGACTTGCCAGCCCAGCCCCCCAAGCCCCCGGAGGTTCACAAACTTCTTGCCTGCGGGCTCCTCCCGCTTGGAGGCGGGTAAGGGCAGAGGAATATAAGGAAGCGGTGTAAGAGCAAAGCTCCATCCCACCTCCAGTTCCGCACAACGCACCAGGGAAGGCAGAAATAAGGGGACAGCGACCCAAATTCAGCAGCCCCGAGCTAGTGGCCCGCGTCCAGCCGCGGCGCGCTGGACAGCTCCAGGGCGGCTCCCGCTTTTGGAAGTCTGCGGAGCGGCAAGCACCTTTCTTCACGCCTTGCTCACCAAGGGGCTGTTTTCCGGTGCAAACAAGAACAACATCGCGGACGGAACAAAGACGCAACCGCTCTGACTTTTCTCCCTTTCCTCTTGTGAACTCGTCGCCCTCGGGCACCAACGCGCCCCTGGCAGACTCGAAGCACCTGAGCGCTCAGACCAACGTCTCCTCCAGTTGGGTCCTCTTGGGCCCCGGGTCCCCAGGGCAGTAAACTTGCCAGCGTCCGGGAGAAATCCATTAAGTCCAAGTCCTGCGCCGTGCACTTTCTGGGCACCTGGGAACGTGAAAACTGCAGGGGACCCAGACCATGCCTCGCACATCTTCTGCCAACCTCTCGCTGCTCGAGAGCAGCAATCTCAGTGGTCTGGTTCTGGGGGGGTTTGAAAGGGACCTCTTGACATTCCCGGACGGGACCACCGCGGAGTTGGTGATCCGCTGTGTTATCCCTTCCCTGTACCTGTTCATCATCCTGGTGGGCTTGCTGGGCAACATCGTGTTGGTGAAGATCTTCATCAGCAACAGCGCCATCCGGAGCGTCCCTAACATCTTCATCTCCAACCTGGCCGCTGGAGACGTGCTGCTGCTGCTCACCTGCGTCCCGGTGGACGCCTCGCGCTACTTTTTTGATGAATGGATGTTTGGGAAGGTGGGCTGTAAACTGATCCCAGTCATCCAGCTCACCTCCGTGGGGGTTTCCGTGTTCACTCTGACAGCCCTCAGCGCCGACAGGTAAGCACGCAGCAGGGTGGGGAAGGGCGTGGAGAGGGTGCACCTGGTCTGGAAAGGAGGAGGAAAGGGAGGTGAAAGACTGGGAGGGTGGAGAGAGGAAGAAGGCAGGAGTCAGAGTAAACTGAATGGAAACAGACTGGAATGTGAAGATTGGCAAAATGATGGCAGAAAATCATTTTCAAAAACAAAATAGGATTGGTTTGAAGGAAGCTTTATAATCTGCATAATCTAGTGGGCCCTCCCTAGCCCCATTTTGGGAATCTTTATTAACACTTTTACCTTGTTGCACACAAAAGTTGGAGGACAACTGTATAGTGTGCAGATATCATGTAGAACCCTCTTCCTCCGTTTTTATATGTGCCTAAAACCTTAGAAGTGTACTTAGTGGGATAATAATCTAATAGGTAAAATGTCTGTTTTAATATTAGGAAAAGGCTTTTTACCAGAATAATTATATTGTTGATTATATTAATATAATAATATTATATTAATTGTATGCCATAATTATTAATTATATTAGACTAGTTTTGAAAGAAAGGCATTTATCAAAATACATTATCTTCAGACAAATAACTACACATTCTTAATATGTACTGCCAAATGATAGACTCTATTCTATAAACAGGTAGCCACCGAATTTAAATATCTTAAAACAACGCTATAAGAATATCCAGATCTTGGGAGTAAATCTGATTTGCACGTGAGTTAGATTAAGTATGTCATCGTCAGGTAGGGAGATAGAGGCTCAGGGTATGTAGGTCCCACAGGCAGAGTTCGCAGAAGAATCCAAGCCTTTGATTCTCTGCCACTACTGTAAGTTACAATCATGCTTCAGGGCATTTAAAAAGGAGAGAAAGTCTAGAGTACAGATGGGTTCACAATGTCAAATTAGGCACCACTGCATGGAGCTTAACTTAACATAAAATAGAAAAAGGAGGTAACTAGGATGGTTAAAGTGGCAATTACTCTCTTCCTCTTTAATTTATGTACTAAGTTATTAATGAAAAATGAGTCTGAATTTCCTGACATTTTCAATAATACCCTTACATTATTTTGACATTGAAGAATTGATTTGCATTGGCAAAAGGGGATATTCAAAGGGGAGTTGAGAGCATGTAACTTTTGTAACCGAACACTATCAAGTTTAAATTTCTGCTATAGACTCCCAGATTACTGTAAAATTGGGCACCTTTTCTATTAAGAACCTCATTTGATTTGGATGGCACTATTTCTATTACTTAATTTTTTTCTTTGAATATGTTAACTAAAATGTAACTTTTTAGCTTAGCTGTGTTTTTTAGGGAGCCTATTATAAAAAAAAAGTTAAGACCCTTTTGCTTAATAATTAGAATTAAGCTAAATGAATAGCTATCACCATAATAGTTAAGATTACGGTCATTATACTTTCCTTTTAAAAAAAAGTGTCAGTAGCAAGACCTTGGGCTTGAGTTTGCTTCACACAAATTTTCTCCATATATTGCGATGGAGAAACACTGGTAAAATTGTTCTGATCAAGGTCAGAGAAAATGTGGATCTTCATATTGTGAGCAAATTTCTCTATTTATATGTGTAGTATGTGAAATAGCACAGACACTTAATAATAATAGAGAAAGGTGGGTTGCCTTTTTCACTTGGTCTGCCAGGCTACACTTGTCTATCAGTGTGTTTTGGAAATATAAGTTGAGAAATCTGAGTCATCGGTGACTAAATTACATGATACATTCGAAAATTCATTATTTGATTACTCAAATAATGATTTGAAAAATTATTTATTCCTATTTTTAATTCCAGAGGATAGTAATCAGATACTTGATCTCTTAATATTTTAGCTTACTAAATGTTATGATTTCTTGTGAGTTTTGAATGTTCACAAGATGTATTGCATTTATCATTGTGCTGACTTTCGTGTGAGAATACTATTTTTTTTCCCAGAATACTATTATTATTATTGCCTCTTTGAATGAAAAGCCCCAAGGCTTAAGAGCAGGCAAGATTTTCATGATTTCACTGGAAGTAAATACTGGAGCTAGTATTTGACTCCAGTTCAAAGCCTTCACCTTTCATCATCAAGCCAGATCACTACTCTCCCAGGAATAGAAAATTACAAATGGTCTTTCATAGTAATTATCAAGGGTTCCGGGATAGAGGGGAGCGGGGAGGGAGGGGAAAAATGAGGCGCTGATACCAAGGGCTCAAGTAGAATGTAGATGTTTTGAGAATGATGATGACAACATATGTACAAATGTGCTTGACACAATTGATGTATGTATGGATTGTGATAAGAGTTGTATGAGACCCTAATAAAATGAAAAAAAAATTTTAAGCAAAGCACCTAAGAGTGAGCAAAGAAATATAATCATTATAAATTTACCTTGAGGCCTAAATCACTTTGTTTCATATAATAAAAAGGTGCCATGTAACTATTAACTTCTAGCTCTTCAAACTCTTTCAATGACTTCCCAGTAATATATCCATAGGAAAAGCATGTGTGCACTCCAGCCTACACTGATGACTTTGGAGGTAGATTACAATGGATATGCCTGGAGGACAGACAGTACCTGATCTGGAATGGTGACAGTATGACTTTAGTTTTTGGTTTGCTTTTGTCTTTATAGATTTTTGTTACTATTTTAATAAGTTCATCATTTTTGCTTATTTAAATTAAATAGCCATGTTAAGATATTTCTATATTTTCTGTTGCATCTGTATCAAATTCAAACACTTTCTTTTCTCTTCAAGCCTGCTGCACTGATAGATATAATGACTTATAGACAGAATGGAACAAGGACTCTTAGGTCTTCCATTATTAATATACAAAACAGCCAGAAGATAATGGAATATTTGAAAAGGTGTGCACTCAAGTGCTAACTACCGAAAGGCTGAAGGGTTAAGTCAGCCCAGAAGTGCTTTGGCAGAAAGGCCCAGTGGTCTACTTCTGAATAACCAGCCATGGTTACTCTATGGAGATCAGTTCTACTCTGATGCACAGGAGGTCACTCTGAGTCAGAATCAACTAAATGGTAACTAGTTGCTTGTTGACTCTACCTCTCTCTTAATACGTGCTATAGATTTGATTATGTCCCAACCCCTTCCCAAATATGGGCTGTAAATGTCACTATAACTGTGGTCATTATCCCATTTGGGAATAGGGATTTCTTTGTTACAGCAGTGTTCATGTAGAGCATATCTTAAGTCAACTTTTTGGAGATATCAAAGAGCAGTTTAAGAAAACAGCAATAAAACGGAGGTGGTCGAATTAGTTTTTTATGATAGTAGATCACCATGACCACCAAGGAATAGAAGCTAAATAGAGACAAAGATCTTTCCTCAAAGCTGAGGAAAGCAGAGAGAAGGCTTTCTAGAGACTTATTTGGCCCCTTTCATAAAATAAAATTATGTGATGTCCTCTGGCAATGAAACTTTATCTATAGCCCATAACCCTGCATAGGGAATAGGTAGCTGCTTTTTCAGCTTGCCCCCCTCCACCCCCACTGGATCATTCTGGCGCCCCCTTTGGGAAACGCTTCTGGTCTCCTCAACTGTGATAAAGTAAGTTTCTTTTTGTTAAAGATACCTGCTTGTGGTATTTCTGTTACAGGAGCACTAGATAAAGAAGGCTCTCCTTTCTTTTTCATGGTGTCATCTGAATCGTTTGTTCCAGGTACAGAGCCATTGTAAACCCCATGGACATACAGACCTCAGGGGCAGTGACGTGGACCTACATGAAAGTCGTGGCCATCTGGGTCATCTCTGTGATGATGGCAGTCCCCGAAGCAGTGTTTTCTGAAGTGACTCGTATCGACAACCTAGCAAATGGCAGCTTCACGGCCTGCATACCTTACCCTCAGACAGATGAGTTACACCCAAAGATTCATTCGGTGCTCATCTTCTTGGTCTATTTCCTTATACCACTTGTTATCATTAGTGCTTATTATTATCATATTGCAAAAACCTTAATTAAAAGTGTACATAATCTTCCTGGAGAATACAATGAACATACCAAAAAACAGGTAAGCTTGGTAGGTATATGTGTATGTATGTATGTGTGTGTAATACACTGGTCCAGTTTGGCTATTGCTATTTTTTGTTCTA